AAAAATGTGCATCAAACACACCTTAAATAGAAACAAATTAAAAATTTTAAAAATCTACTATTCTTTCAATATGAAAAGTAGCCTATAATTTGAAATAAACAAAAAAGAAAAACAAGTATATCTTCATGGAATTATAATCTCTTATTAACATCTACCGATTACATTCAAAAGTACATTATGTGATTCAACCACATCGCAACAAAATACAAGTCCCACAGTTCCAATACCTAAGTTATTTTGCAACACTTATGCCATATATTTATTATACATGCGCGCATATACTGCATCTTAGTCTCGGCATGAATCGACACCAGTACACACCACAATACAACTATAATGTTGCTCGAAGTATACCTAAGATTTCCAATCACTCTTTCTTTTTGTCACTGGTGTCTGAAACTGAAGCATTGCGGTAAGGTGCAGCAGCGTATGCATATTGCATCAAGAGTGAGAAGAAAACCATCTCCACGATCACTAACATGTTCTGAAGAGCTTCCTGGACATGCTCGACGTCAAGCCAGAAATGATTCGACTTTACTATTCCCATTGCTACAAGAATGTCAAGCAGAATTCCCTGGAGCAGGACGGTAAACGCATCTGAATAATCATTTCAAAATCATCGAATGTTCAAAGAGAAGAGAGATCGAAGAACATGCAAGCTATCAATTCCACCAATATGTAGGGCATGTTTGCCAAGGCTTTAAAAAATCCTTTAAAAAGTAGTTTAGGCTAAGAAACTGCTTTAAGCATGTTTGGATAATTTTCTAAAAGTGTTTTGTCCAGAGCTCTTAGAGAAAGCTGGTCCAAGGTTACTTGTGAACCTCTTCTACAAGAAGCAGAAGTAGAAGCATTGCCAAACAAATACACCTCAACCCTTGGTCAATCTTTAATTCAAAAAGTATAAAACTTCTTGAAACTTGGTGTCTTAAACTGGTGTTTCAGAAGATTATATACTATAAGCATACCTGCCAAAAACAGAAGAAGACAATGCCTTTGACGCACAAAAACTTGGCAAGTGGTTTATGTGGTGCTAACTCTTTCGCAAAAACATGGTAGAAAACCACAAGGGAATACAATGCCAAAGAAACTGAAACGTTCAAGATCATTGTGAATGTCCAGCTGAGCCAACTGGGATATATTCCAAGAAGCTGAAGAGCTATCATCAAGACAGAGCAAACCGGGCGAATTACCACAAACTGCCATGTCCATTGCTTGAGAAGCTTTAAATTTTTATGGTCCAGATGGACAGTGTGAGGCTGCAATTGCCAAAATGGTGCATTTAGACATTACTGTGATTCATGAAGTTAATAACAGACTGAAAAATGCATAATTATGAAGATTCAAGAGGCCAGATGATGGCATGCATTTGCTTTAAATTATGAGAATAATTCCATTTAAAAAATATCACAAACAAATCAAATTGGATGGTAATATGTCCTAAGGGTGAAGATTAACATACAGGTAAGTTATCACATTACAACATCCACTGGTTGAAAGATGGGGAGCTAGCTATACCTGGAAAAGAGTCATTGGGAACGAATGGTGAATCTCTCTTCCTTTAATTTCATCAGGCACTATGTTTTTGCTGATAGATATGTTCAAATAAGTATACATCAAAGCCAAAAACTTAGCCATCACCTAAACTTCATCAAAAGACAAAGTTAATACCCAAAAAACAAACATCGATAAAACAGGCAAATATAAAGTGCTATGCATGAATTATCCAACTTGGCTCTGATGACTAAAACCACAAGTTGGAGTTACAGAATGTGTAGTTGTTGAACATCTACCAGAGCCTCATAGCATTCTTTGACGGAATCCAAGAATGTGAAAAATGTTGAGCTTCCACGAATGTCTAGCAGACCAACATAGGAGTCAATGGCATATAATGGAGCCATGAGGACGATAATTATTATTGCCTTCTGTTCCTTTGGCTTCTTCCAAGATTGGAAATGTTCAGATACAAGCTGTATCGCAAAGTGTAGAGTGAGCATTACACATACAGTGGACCCCATCAATGTGAGTTTCCC